GCACCGTGGTCATTGGGGTACTGCAGGCAGGGTCCTGGGAGCCCCCCAGGAAGAGCAGGGTGGTGACAGCCACTGTCCCTTCACAGGCGAGGTGGTGGTGGCCCATTGCTGCGTCCTCTCCGCCTGCAGCCCCTTCTTCATGGAGCAGCTGGGCCGGGAGCTGCCTCCCCGGGGCGGCAGGGTGGTGCTGGAGCTGGGGGGGCTGAAGATCAGGGCACTGCGCAAGCTGGTGCGCTTCCTGTACACTGCCGAGCTGGATGCCACATGGGAGGAGGTGCAGGAGGTGCTGGCGGCCGCGCGCCGCCTCCAGGTCACCGAGCTCGAGTCGCTGCAGCTGCAGGGGGGACGCCTGGTGAGGCCGGGACCCCAGCGACAGCTCAACCGCTCCTGCCTGCGCTCCGCGCGGCACTGCTCCCCCCTGGCGGAGGGCAGCAGCGCTGAGCCCGGTGGTACAGAGATGCCCCATGGGAGCACCGGTGTGTGCCCACAAGAGAGTGCTGATACACCCCCCCTGCACGCTCCAGAGCCCATGCACCACAGCCCCGTGCAGCGGGTAAAGCTGCGGAAGGTGAAGAGTGGGGGGTGCTGGGAGGTGGTGCAGGACCCACAGCCCCCCAGCACTATGGCCACGGGTGATGAGGGGGTGATGGATGCGCAGCCCACCCTGGGTGCAGGTGCAGTGGGGCAGGCGGACAGGCGCTGCATGTGGGCGGCCTGGAGGAAGCAGTGCCAGGGGTGCGCTGCACCCGAGCAGGGCTCCGGGCTGGTGCCACTGGAGGACCCCACAGGCGACCCCAAGGAGGAAGAGGTTGATGTGGGGACGCTAGAGCTGTGCCTGCCCCCAAGCACTGTCTTCGTCTGGCCCTGCCCCTCCTCTGAGTCTGATGAGGAGGTGGATGTTCTCACCTAGAGAGGGCAGTTCTGCCCCTACTGCTGCCCTCACCCCTGGGCTTATGGTACTGAAATAAAGTATCAGAGCTGACAGAGCATCTGTGGAGCTTTACTGGGGAATAAAAGATGGATGCAGGAAGATAAAGCGGGATACAAGGGGAAAAAGAGGGATGCAGGGGAGAAGAGAGGGTAGGCAGGGGGATGTGGGGGAAAGCAGGGGGTCCAGCGGTGGCTGCTCACGGCAGAGCTGCAGCATCGGAGACAGGACTGGGGCTGGCAGATGCCCCCCACTTGGTCTCGCCTCTTCATGGATGCTCCGCCGCAGGTGCTGGTCCCAGCCTGGCTGCAGGGAGAGGGTGCTGTGTGTGATCCTCGTTGCCATCCCTGTGCTGTCCTGTCCGGGTGCTCACTCACCCAGCCGCCATCTCTATGCTAAGCTGTTTTTCAGGGCTTTGACCACGTCCTCCGGTTGGGGGAACTTCAGCTTGCGGGGAGGGCCCTTCCCAATGCCGCTCCACAGCTCCACGCCTGGGGGAACGAGGGGACAGGTCAGGGGTGCCGGGAACACCCCCACCTGCCGGCCCCCTGCTCCCGGCACTCACTGCTACCGTCCTCCTTCACCAGGGACACCTCGAAGCTGTTTCTCCGTGGCTGCCGGGGGTTGATGTCCACGGCGAGGTTTGCCACGGCCTCGCGCAGCGCCGCGCTCACCGCCGCCGCGTTGCGCCCGAACACGCGTCAGCTCTTGCTGGGGAGGCACGGGGGTCAGCACCGGGGCGGGCACCCACGGACCCTCCCCAGCGGCCCGGCTCACCAGTGCTCGATGACGACGCGGGGACCGGTGCCCCCCGGGCTGCCCTCGCCCTGGCTGCGTCCCCGCTTTCGCGGGGCATCCGCCTGCTCCGGTGCCTCTGCCGCCGCCGGCTGCTGGGCCCCGCGCTTCCTCCCGCGGGGAGCCATCCTAGGGAAAGCGCGGCGCCGTGGGGCCGGGCAACGGAGGGTGCCCGGGGTCCAGAGGAGCCTTCCAGGGAAGATGGGGGGGCCAGGGACCCGCAACTGCGGTAGAAGGGGTTCCCCACCGGGGCCCTGACACGGGAGGCAGAGAGGGGATGCCCGGTAACCCGCCCCTGTGAGAAGGGGGGGCCCCAAGGACCCCGCTTTGGGAGAGCGGGCGGGAAGAAGGGCCCCGGGGCTGCCGCCGCGGTAACGGGGTAGGTGCGGGCGGGAGAGATCCCGGGACCGGGGAGAGGAAGGGTTCCGGGGAGGGAAAGGGGGGGGTCCCTGGGCCCGCAGCGGCCTCACCGCCTCCTACCTGCCGCGCCGCGCTGACCACGTGCCGGGACAACGGGCACCGCGCCGGACTGCGCCACTCGGCCGAACCCCCTCGGGAGGGAGGGGCCGAACGGCGCCCGGCGGGTTTGGGAACCGGGGAACGGGGAACCAGGCCTCGGAGCTCCCCGCCCCGTCCCACGTCTCCGCAGGAGCCCCTCGCTCTTCCCGCCTGAGCGGCGCCGGGCCGAACCTCGGTGCCCAACCTCCCACCCCCCGCGCAAGCTCAGTGGTTCCGTCCGCGCTTCCCGTCCCGCCGCGCAGCCTGCGCAGCAGCGCCAACCAATCAGAGCGCGACGTGCTAGCCACGGCCCCGCCCCCGCGGCAAGCCCCGCCCCCGGGCCCGGGCCCAGCCACAGACACGAGCACCGGCACGAACCGTTTATTGTCAGCGATGAGATGCGCGTTCACCGGGCAGGGTCTGTCCCGCGGCCCCGCTGCTGGGCCCTGCTCGTCCCGGGCCCACCCGGGAGCTCCCTGCGCGGCGAGTGGCGGCAGGCCCAGCCCCGGGGCTGGTGCCACCAGGGTGATGCGAGGAGGCGATGGGTGACAGCACAGTGCAGCCTCTACTTGTCTTTTTTGGCCTCACCATCGGGGTGCCCGGTGGGTGCCTGCCCCCCGGGGGGCTCCTCCTCCCGCGGCTTCATCTGCTTCTTGGCCTTCTGGTAGAGCTCATTGAGGTTGAACTCCCGGATCACATTCTCCTGTGGCCGAGAGGCAGCGCTGGCACCCCCAGGACCTCCCTTCCCCCTCAAGGGCTGCTAAGCCCCATCCTGTCCCAGAGGTGAGGGCCTGAGGCACATCCCACCCACCTCAGAGAAGGTCCAGGACACGGCCCGGCCCTTCTTGTCGATCTGTGGCCGGCGCATGGTCTCTGTCCCGCCCTGGAAGAGGATGAGGGTGGGCAGCTGCTTGGTGAGGGGCGAGGTGCTGACCTTGTACCTGTGGCAGGGAAAGGCCAACAGTGACTCCCAGGCTGGTGGGGGGCTCCCGGGGACTCTGCCCCAGCACCGGCCCTGCCGCCCATACCTGGTGCTGACGTCCGTGTACCGGCCAACATCCACCTTCCCAAAGTGCAGCCCCGAGCAGTTGTACCTGGGGAGGATTGGGACACGCGGCTGTGAGCGCCCTGTGAGCGTCACAAGAGCCCTGGCCCCACCACTCGCTGGGGCCCCGCAGGCACCACGCACTTAAGAGAGAGGTCGGCAAAGATGGGGGCAAATGACTGGCACTCGCTGGACCAGTTGGCGAAGAACTCGACGATCCAGGTCACCCGCTTGTCCCGGTCCAGCTCCTCCTACCAGAGGGACATGGGGCTCAGCGTGGGGGGGGCAGGCAGAGCTCCCTGCACCATGGGGAGGGGATACTCACGTCTATGGTCTTGTCACTGAAATATTTGATGTACTCAGGGCCCATGTAGAGCGGGGGCTTGCAGGTCATCAGGAACACTGCAACGACAGAGCCCTGAGCCCCCTGCAGTGCCTGGAAGGGCCAGGCAGGGTTTGGGATGAGATTCCTCCCTCCCCATAGCAGTTGGGGAGCCAAGGCAGAGCAAGCCGTGGGTCCCATTCCCCCCTTCCCTTCCCCACCAAGGTGCTTCCTCAGCCCCTCCTTGTCCACGGGGCTCCTGACACCTGCAGCCTTCCCCTGCACTGAAAGGCACAAGCCAACCCTGCAGCAAGAGGGAGCTCCAGCCCTTTCAGCAAGGGGGTGTGGAGGACGAGCAGACACAGTGGGTGCTGAGGGCCTAGGGGCACCGCTGCTGTCCCCATGCTATGGGACCCCTGAACAGGTCTCACCAATGCAGAGTGTGAGGTAGAGCAGACCCATCCGGATGTCGAGGCGAAAGAAGAGGATGGCGTTTGCTACCTTGCTGAACATGAAAATGTTCCCAATGTGCTGCTCCACCGTGACTGGGAAAGGGAGAGAGGAAGAGACGATGGGGCCACATCACACCAGGAGCTGGGGAGGTTGGGAGTGGGGACCAGATGTGGTCCTCCAGAAGCCAACCAGCCCCCCCCCCCCCGCACAGGCCCCGGCTCACTGGAGCGTCGGTTCTTCATCATGACGATGGCGCTGAGGAACATGAGGATCTCCACCTCGCGCTGGGACAAGAGAGACGCCGTGAGCGGGAGGCGCCCTGGGGCCTCTGCAGCCGCAGAGCCCGGCAATGGCCGCCCGCAGCCGCAGGCGAGCAGCTCCCGCCCCGCAGGGCACAGAGACGAAGCCCCGCTGGCCCCGCAGCGCTGCCCGCTCCCTGCCTCCCCGGAGCTGGCGCTGCCCCTGCACCGACGCGCAGTGCTCCCCTCCCACCAGCACCGGGGCATCGCTATGGGGCTGCTCGCCCCCAGCCAGCGGGCCGGGCCGGGCCCGGCCGGGCCGGGCCGGGCCGCGCCGCCTCACCCAGTCGAAGTCGCAGGGGTTCCCATCCTCGCGCTGCGAGGGCAGCCCGCGGCAGAGCGGCGGCACCTTGCGCACGAGCAGGAAGGCGGCGGCGAGCAGCGCGGACAGCGGGTAGTACGGGCGGGCGAGCCAGCGGCACAGCGAGGGCACGGCCGAGAGCAGCGCCAGCACCGGCGCCACCACCGCCATCTTGCCCGGCCCGACGGCCAATGGCGAGCCGCGCCGCCGCGCTACCCGGACGCCGGCGTGCCAATGAGGAAGGAAAAGAGGAGAGACCAATCAAAGGGCTTGGACTGACTGTCTCTTAGCAACCGGGCCGGCGGGCGGGGCCTGAGAGGCGCTCGGCCAATCGCGGGGAGGCGGAGCGGCCCCGCGCGGGGCACGCCGGGAACATGGAGAACTTCTCGGCGCTGTTCGGTGGGGCCGAGCCGCCGCCCGCCGCCGCCGCCGCTGCGCTGGGCTTCGGGCCGGCCAAAGCGCCTGGCGCCGGGGCCGCGCCGCCCCCCGCTGCCGCTGCGCCGCCGCCGGGCGAGGACGCGGCCCGCAAGGCCGCCGCCGGCCCCTTCTACCTGCTGCGGGAGCTGCCAGGTGCGGGGCGGGACCACGGGGCGGGGGCGGGCGCCGCGCTGGGCCAATCGGCGTGGCGGGACGAGGGTCCGGCGGTGACTGGCTGAGCGACGGGCCAGTGAGGGGACAGGGTGGTGGACGGGGAGGTGCAAACGGGCCAATCGGCGTTAAGGGGGCGGGGCCAAGCGGTTCTGCCCGGGTGGGGAAGTGGGGCCTTGCGGGGGCCGCGGTCCCGGGGCCTGGCGGGGGGAGCGGGGCGGGGCCGGACCGGGGCGGGGGGGGCAGCACCTTCCCCATCCCCTTCTGCGGCGCCGGCGCAGGCACGACGGAGCTGACGGGCAGCACGAACCTGATCACGCACTACAACCTGGAGCACGCCTACAACAAGTTCTGCGGCAAGAAGGTGAAGGAGAAGCTCAGCAACTTCCTGCCCGACCTGCCCGGCATGATCGACCTGCCCGGCTCGCACGACAACAGCAGCCTCCGCTCCCTCATCGAGAAGCCCCCGATCTGCGGCAGCTCCTTTACCCCCCTCACCAGCACCATGCTCACGGGGTTCCGCCTCCACGCCGGCCCGGTGAGCGCTGGGCCCTGAGCCGGGGGGGGCGCTGGGGCCGGAAGGGCCCGGTCAGGCCTAACCCGCCCCGTCTGTCCCGCAGCTGCCCGAGCAGTGCCGGCTCATGCACATCCAGCCGCCCAAAAAGAAGAACAAGCACAAGCACAAGCAGAGCCGCACGCAGGATCCCGTCCCCCCAGGTACAGGGCTGCAGGCACAGCCGCCCCTTCCCCATTGCGTCAGCCCCGGGGTCCCACTCACCCCCATCTTGTTCCTCCAGAAACCCCCTCAGACTCCGACCACAAGAAGAAGAAGAAGAAAAAAGAGGAGGACCCTGAGCGCAAGAGGAAGAAGAAAGAGAAGAAGAAAAAGAAGGTGGGGGGGGGAAGCCGGGGCCAGGTCCCCCTGTGGCCCCCGCAGGGGCTGTTCCCTGGGGCGCAGCTGTGGAGTGGGAGCTCTCACGGAACCGTGTCTGTCCTTCCTCCACAGAACCGGCACAGCCCGGAGCACCCGGGCGTGGGCAGCTCCCAGGCCAGCGGAAGTCTGCGGTGAGGCCACGGAGCCCTGGCCGCCAGGAACGGCCCCAGCTGAGCTGGGAGGACTCATCCCTCCCGCAGCGCTCGGGGCGGCCTGACCCCCCCCGGCAGAGAGGAGAGCCCCAGCTCGCGGGACCAGGGAACACGGACTCTGCTGGTGCCGGGGCTGCGGCCTCGGCCTTTTATACCCAAAGAACCCAGGGCATCGGGGCCTCTTTTTTAGTCACCTTTTAATTAAAGTGTCTGCTCTGAGGGGCTGGTGGCCGTGGCTGCTGCAACCCTCGGCTGTCAGCGCGGGGCGAGGAGCCGAGACCCAGGGGCCGCACGGGATCAGCACTGCCCCAGCACAAGGATCGTGGCTGAGCCCCTGCCCCAGCTCTGAGCCTGTGTCCTGCTGAAGCAGGGGCAAGGGGGGCTCCTACGATGGCTTTGGTGGCCGCTCTGCACCGAGGGGCTCTGTGCCCACTGCCCCTTGCTGTCCAGGGCAGGAGTGACCCCGTGTTGGAAGCAGCCACTGGTGGAGCGGCCGATGCTGCTGCTGTGGGCACTGGGCACAGCGATGCCGAGGTTCTCCTGTCCCCGGTGCCCTGTGCAGGTTCCTGAACCTCACCCGCTCCTGAGACCTTCCCCAGAGCCGCCCCCCTGGCCCTGGGAACACACCTTCTGCAGCGGGGTCTGCCCAGGAACAGCCCGAGGAGGAGCCGGGCTCGGCTCCACGGGGGCCCTGCACGGGGAGCAGGGGGGGGGATGCTGAGACCCCGCGGGACGGGCCCCTCGAGGGACGCTGAACAAAGCACACGCTCGGCTGCCTCATTAAATAGCCTTTTATTCCTCGTTTTAAAATGGGTAATCAATAAAAACCAATGGCCTGGCCCCGCACGGCCACGGGCAGGTATTGCGGCGAGGAGTCCCGTGGTGCCTCAAGTGTGCGGCCTCGGCGGGGGGAGCGCGGGCTCCTTGGCTGCGGGGGGGTTTTGGCATGTGATGAGGAAATATTGCTTCAGGGTGCGCTCGGCGGCCACAAACCCGCGTGTGGCAGCGAGAGCCCCCCAGCCCCACGGCCACACACACCTGGGCACGCAGAGCAGGAGCTGCACTGGGGGCCGCAGCTGCACCAGCCCCTGGCCATGCACTGGGGCCGGGACTGCTCCTCGACCCTTCCTCCTCCTCACAGCCCCGGGGCTGGCGCTTCACAGGCGAAGAGCCGGGGAGGAGCATGTCCGAGCGTCCGCAGCTCCAGCATCAGCACAGGAGGCGGCACCAGCCCCACGTCCCTGCTCCGGGGCCCTGGCCCTGCGCAGGAAAGGGCTCGTTTCTTCCTCTCTCTGGGTAAGATAATATAATTTCTGCTTCTTTTTCGAATATTTATATTTATAGATATAGATATTTCTATGTACACACACCCCGGAACTCAGAAAGAGAAAAAAAATAGAATCCGTAACAAGAATCATAAAAAAAAGTGTTCTGCTTTAAAAACTGCGTTCCCGCGGCGCGAGGCCATTGCAGGCGCCCCGGCGGGGGCGGGAGGAGCAGCGGAGCCGGCGCCCCCGGTGCCCCCGGTGCCCGCAGGGTCCAGGCGCGGGACGAGCCCCGGTGCCCGCAGGACGGGCGGAGCGGTGCCGGCTCACACCGAGATCTCGTAGGTGGTGCCCCCCACGCCAGAGACCTTCTTGACACCTCCACGCGTGGGGCTGCTGAGCGGCACCGGCCCCGCGCCCGCAGGCCCCGGGCCCAGGCTCTTGGGCTGCCCGTTGGACTTGCTGTGGGCTCCTCGCATCTGCACCTCGTCCCTGTGGGGAGGACGGAGGACACGGGGTGAGGAGGAGGAGAGGGAGCGGGCACCAGGGGATGGGGTAGGGGGGGACAAGCTTGTGCCAGCATGGGGGGGGTCCAGAACCCAGCGCAGCCACAGCCCTCCCCCAGCACCTCTCCAGCTCCCCAGGAGGCCGGGGGGAGGCCCTGGGGGGCACAAGCTCTGTTCTGGAGGAGCAGGGATTCCCTCCATTGCCCAGGCCATGTGCGGCATCGCTCCCCGTGAGGGGCACGTCACTGCCCGGGTGCTGCTGCAGTGGGAGGGGGGGGACACAACCCAGGTGGGGGACAGTGGGAGGATGTGGTGGTCCCCGGCTCCCCCAGGGCAAGGGTCCCGCTGGGCGCTGCGTGCGCGGCTCGGTACTCACTTGGGTGGCAGCAGGGGCTGCAAGGCCACCTCCTCCGCCTCGGGGCCGCCGGCCTGAGGGGCTGGTTTTTGGCTGCTGTAGGACACGGACTTGCCGAGGTGGGGGGCTCGGGGCTGCTCGGGGGAGCCCAGGGAGCGCGCCCGCAGCGCGCCGGGGGGCTCGGGCTTGCCGAAGCGAGGCAGGGCTGGGCGCGGGAGCGGGTTCTTGCCCGCGGGCGAGCGCTTGGAATCGTCCAAGGAGCCGCTGGAGCGCGGCGGCGACTGCACCCCCGCGGCCGCTGGCCCCGCGTCCTCGTCCCGGCCCGCGGGCGGCGGCTGCTGCAGCAGCTTCTCCCGCTCCTGGATGGAGGCCACGATGTGGCGGGACAGATTGTCATAGCGCACGGGCGAGGGCTCGCGGGGCGGCGCGGGGCTGCCGAAGCGGCCGTGCAGGTCGCTCTCCCGCTGCTGCGCGATGCGGGCCGACAGGAAGGGCGAGGTGTACCCCAGCGGCGCCTCCGGCTCCGGGCCCGCCTGCACCGACTCGAAGTCGGGGCTGTCGGAGGGCGTGAGGAGGCTGTCGTACGAGAGGCTGCCGTTGCGCGTCTGGTTCACCAGGCTCTTGTAGGAGGTGGACGTGGTGCCCTCGGAGCGGATGGACTGGAGCTGGCCCAGCTCGAAGCCCGTGCCCTGCGCCGACTTGAGGCTGGAGGAGCGGGAGCCGCTCGAGAGGGGGTCGAAGTGGAAGCTCTTGCTGAAGGTGGGCGAGCGGAAGCTCTCGGGCTCCAGGCTGGGCTCCGAGCGGTAGCTGGGCTTGTGGCCGCCCTCACCCATGGAGTTGGGCTCCTTCAGGCTGTTCACTCGGCTCAGCTGCGGGATGCAGACGCAGCCGTCACCACCGAGGGGCCCCTGCGGAGCTGCCGGTGCCCACCCCAAGCCCCCCAGCCTGGAGGCAGCCCCAGGGGCCGGGTCTCCCCTTACCTTGGCACTGGTGGAGTGGGGCAAGGCCGCCGAGCTGCTGCTGCTGCTGTAGCCGGGCCGGTACTTGTACATGGTGGGGGTCGGGGGGCTGTCCTTGCCTAGCAAGCTGCTGTCTGCAGGAGGGCAAGAGGAGGACGCTCAGACCCACAGGGAACACTCGCGGAGTCTCCCCTCCCTTCCCAAGAACCGGCTCTGAGCCTGGGGCACACAGACCAGGGGTGGAAGCAGAGGAGGGATGGGCTGGAGGAGAGGGGCAATGGGGCGGGAGGAACAGACTGGGATGGAGAACGTGTCCCCATAACAAGGGGTCTGGGGCTGGCACCTTCCTGGGCCGGGTGACCTCTGGGTCCCATGGGTGCCTTCTCCAGGCAGCAGGGCCAGACGGGGGCAGGGAGAGCTGCTGGAAGCAGGCGTTCCTGAGCTCTGCCCTCAACATCCCACCTCTCGCGAGCCCTGGCAGCAGCAGGGCTCACAGGGAGTCTCAGGCTGCCACACGCGCTCTGCCCCCACGCCAGGCCTGACCCTCCTGTGCCTCCTCCATCCTGGCGATGCTCCTGCTCCTGCACGGCACCGCTGCGGCCGCTCGCATCCCGCGGCTTCTCCAAGCACGAGGGGCCGCATCCAGGACCCCAGGCACCTCCTGCCCCCAGTGCGGCGGCTTCGGGGCTGCCCTGCACCTGCTCCAGCTGCGGCCCTGGCTCCTGCTCTGCCTGGTGCAGCCCTGGGCTCCCTCCCAGGGGCTGCCCGGGACCCTGACACCTTCCTTACCCTCGGTGGTGGCCAGGGTTAAGTGTGTCCTCAGGCCCGTGTAGTGGCTGAGGTCTGGCTTAGGGGGGGGTGGCGGCTCGGCATCAGCAGACTGGCTCTCGGTCACCTCCAGGCTTCCTTTGGACTGCAGAGACAAAGCGCAGAGGGGGTCAGGGGGGAGCAAGGCCTCAGCCCTCCCCTTGCACACAGGGAGTGCGTGGGCAGCAGCGCTATGGGGGCTCCCGCTGCCGCTGGTGCTTGGAGGTGCCTCGAGTGCTGCAAGTGTTGAGCGAAACCACCAGAGAATGGTGCTGGGGGGGACAGGGTGGGGAAGGGCGATGGAGGGGGCGAAGCCTCATGTGGCTGCTGCCGCATGGGTGGGACACGGCTTCTGTCCCGTGGGGACACAGAGCAGGACGACACGGAGGAGGATGGGGACGGGACAAGGCTCACTCGGTTCTTTACTCACGGATGCAGGCGCGCACCCCTGGGCTCCGCAGAGGGCCCCAGCGCAGGCAGTGCTGCTCCCCACCCTCCTCACCTTCGTCCTCTTCAGCTCTGTCTGGATACCATTGTCCATGATCTTGACCGTGATCTGACCGTCGGACACCCCGGGCCGCAGGAACGGGGGTCTCACCAGCACCGTCTGCTCAGCCCTCAGGCGCCCCAGGTACCTGGGAAGGGGGGGAGGAAGGTAAGGACAGGGCCCGGGCAGGGCTGGGGCAGGGCTGGGGCAGGGCCAGGGCAGGGCCGGGGCAGGGCTGGGGCAGGGCTGGGGCAGGGCTGGGGCAGGGCCGGGGCAGGGCTGGGGCAGGGCTGGGGCAGGGCCGGGCTCACCTGGGGGCCGGGGAGCTGCAGAGGACCCGGCTCACGTTCTTACAGCAACCGTTGGTGAAGGGGTTGACGCCACCACGGAACTTGCCCGTAACCTGCAGGGTGAGGAGCAGAGCGCAGCGTAAATGGGGAGCAGAGCGCAGTGTAAATGGGGAGCAGAGCGCAGTGTAAATGGGGAGCAGAGCGCAGTGTAAATGGGGAGCAGAGCGCAGCGTAAATGGGGAGCAGAGCGCAGTGTAAATGGGGAGCAGAGCGCAGCGTAAATGGGGAGCAGAGCGCAGCGTAAATGGGGAGCAGAGCGCAGCGTAAATGGGGAGCAGAGCGCAGTGTAAATGGGGAGCAGAGCGCAGTGTAAATGGGGAGCAGAGCGCAGTGTAAATGGGGAGCAGAGCGCAGTGTAACTGGGGAGCAGAGCGCAGTGTAAATGGGGAGCAGAGCACAGTGTAAATGGGGAGCATAGCACAGTGTAACCGAGGAGCAGAGCGCAGTGTAAATGGGGAGCAGAGCGCAGTGTAAATGGGGAGCACAGCGCAGTGTAAATGGGGAGCAGAGCGCAGTGTAACTGGGGAGCAGATCGCAGTGTAACCGAGGAGCACAGCGCAGTGTAACTGGGGAGCAGAGTGCAGTGTAACTGGGGAGCAGAGCACAGTGTAAATGGGGAGCAGAGCACAGTGTAACCGAGGAGCAGAGCTCAGTGTAAATGGGGAGCAGAGCGCAGCGTAAATGGGGAGCACAGCACAGTGTAACCGGGGAGCAGAGCGCAGTGTAAATGGGGAGCAGAGCGCAGTGTAAATGGGGAGCAGAGCGCAGTGTAACTGGGGAGCAGAGCGCAGTGTAAATGGGGAGCAGAGCGCAGTGTAAATGGGGAGCAGAGCGCAGTGTAAATGGGGAGCAGAGCGCAGTGTAAATGGGGAGCAGAGCGCAGCGTAAATGGGGAGCAGAGCGCAGTGTAAATGGGGAGCAGAGCGCAGTGTAAATGGGGAGCAGAGCGCAGTGTAAATGGGGAGCAGAGCGCAGTGTAACTGGGGAGCAGAGCGCAGTGTAAATGGGGAGCAGAGCTCAGTGTAAATGGGGAGCAGAGCGCAGTGTAAATGGGGAGCAGAGCGCAGTGTAAATGGGGAGCAGAGCGCAGCGTAAATGGGGAGCAGAGCGCAGTGTAAATGGGGAGCAGAGCGCAGTGTAAATGGGGAGCAGAGCGCAGTGTAACTGGGGAGCAGAGCGCAGTGTAACTGGGGAGCAGAGCGCAGTGTAAATGGGGAGCAGAGCGCAGTGTAAATGGGGAGCAGAGCGCAGTGTAAATGGGGAGCAGAGCGCAGTGTAAATGGGGAGCAGAGCGCAGCGTAAATGGGGAGCAGAGCGCAGTGTAAATGGGGAGCAGAGCGCAGTGTAACTGGGGAGCAGAGCTCAGGGTAACCGAGGAGCAGAGCGCAGTGTAACTGGGGAGCAGAGCTCAGGGTAACCGGGGAGCAGAGCGCAGTGTAAATGGGGAGCAGAGCGCAGTGTAAATGGGGAGCAGAGCGCAGTGTAAATGGGGAGCAGAGCGCAGTGTAAATGGGGAGCAGAGCGCAGTGTAAATGGGGAGCAGAGCGCAGTGTAAATGGGGAGCAGAGCGCAGCGTAAATGGGGAGCAGAGCGCAGTAAATGGGGAGCAGAGCGCAGCGTAAATGGGGAGCAGAGCGCAGCGTAAATGGGGAGCAGAGCGCAGCGTAAATGGGGAGCAGAGCGCAGTGTAAATGGGGAGCAGAGCGCAGTGTAAATGGGGAGCAGAGCGCAGCGTAAATGGGGAGCAGAGCGCAGCGTAAATGGGGAGCAGAGCGCAGCGTAAATGGGGAGCAGAGCGCAGCGTAAATGGGGAGCAGAGCGCAGTGTAAATGGGGAGCAGAGCGCAGCATAACCGGGGATCAACCTAATCCCAGCCCCTGCACCCCCCCAGCCGTACCTGCTCGTTGGTGGTGCGGCCCCTTGCCACGAGCACCACGTGGAAGCCGGTGAGGCCAGCGACAGGAATGAAGAAGAGTCCGGCCACGCACATCACCACCATCCTGTGCACGGGCAGCTAAGGAAGAGCCGCAGCGCCGCACCCCCCGCCCCCCCGCACCCCCGGCCCGCAGAGGATACGTGACGGCCATGCGGACACCAGAGAGCTCCTCCACCTGGTAGAGCACGTAGAGCAGCCCGAAGCCGAAGACGCCCATGATGTGCGCGGTGAGCGACAGCAGGAACAGGAAGAAGTAGCGGTAATTGCGCCGCCCGATGCAGTTGTTGACCCAGGGGCAGTGGTGGTCGAACTCCTGCGGCGGGGGCAGAGGGGGTGAGGGCTCGGCTCCAGGCCCCGGCAGGGCCCGCGGCAGCGCCCGGCGGCTCCTCACCTCCACGCAGTTGTCGCAGACGCTGCAGTGGGAGCAGCGCGGCGGGCGGTAGAAGCGGCAGGTCGCGCACCACTTCATGCGCACCTGGATGCCCTTGATCTCCACCGTCTTGTAGAGCGGGGCACGGAAGTCGTCCTCCTTGTCCTCGTCCTCCTCCGCTGCGGGGGGCGGCAGCGCAGCCCCGCGTCAGGGCACAGGGACCCCCGAACACAGCCACAGGTGGGGGCTCCCCAGCGCCCACACCCAACGCACCCCCTGAGCCCCAGGCACCCGACACCAGTGTTCCCAGTGCTTCCACCCCGGGCCTACAGGCTGGTGCTGAACCCAGCGTCACCACGCGGCAGGGCACCGAGGCCTCCCCTCGAGCCCTTGGGCTCTGGGATCCTTCCCCTGGAGGGAGGCAGGAGGCAGACTCACCTCGTGGGAATATGCCAGGGTCCATGAAGGTGGCCATGCTGAAGTTGGCCAGCACAAAGAGGAAGACGACAGCATTGTAGACAGGAATGACGGGGGACACGTTGAGGCTGAGCCCCGGGCACCTGCGGGCACAGCAGCAGTGAGACACGCGGGCCCTGTCCCAAGGGGCACTCCCCACGTCACCGCCCCACAGCCGTCCCTGGGAGCTATTCCCACCGTGGCCAGGCCATCCCTGCTCCCCTCTCCTGGTCCAGGTTTCCAGGCTCCCACCCAGGCAGGCACCTACAGAGGTTCCTTGCAATCAACTGCCCTCAACTTGACAGGCTGAGAGAGAAGGCTCCTGAAGGGGAGACCTGAGAGCAGCTCCAGTGCCTAAAGGGGCTGCAGGAAACCTGGAGAGGGGCTTGGGACAAGGGCCTGTAGGGACAGGCCAAGGGGAATGGCTTGAACCTGCCCGAGGGGAGACTGAGCTGAGCTCTTAGGCAGAAGCTCTTCCCTGTGAGGGTGCTGAGGCGCTGGCACAGGGTGCCCAGAGAAGCTGTGGCTGCCCCATCCCTGGCAGTGCTCAAGGCCAGGTTGGACACAGGGGCTTGGAGCAAGCTGCTCCAGTGGAAGGGGTCCCTGCCCTGGCAGGGGTTGGAGCTGGAGGAGCTTTAAGGTCCCTTCAACCCAAACCAGGCTGGGGTTCTGTAAGCTCTGCTCTCACCCAGTGCCCTCCACTCCTAAGGCACAGCTGCACCCAGGCCCCCCTGACCCAGCTCAGCCCAGCCCTGGGGCTGTGGGGAGGGCTCTGCTCAGTCTCCAGGCAGCGGAGCCCCCGCTCACCCGGTGCACTGCAGCAGGCAGGGGATCGGGATCGCTGCAGTAATGCCCTAAGCTGCTTTGGGGCTAATCCTGCGGATCTGGGGCAGCAGCTGTCCCGGCCCGGGCCCGGGAGCCGTGCGCAGCACTGCGGGGCTGACAGATGGTGCCCGTGCTGCCATCCCCCAGCCCCGGCCTCTCCTCCAGCAGCACCGGCCAGGCTGGGGGCAGATCCCGTCCCCAGCAAGGGACCGGTCCCACCACTGGGACAGCCCCAGCCCTTGCCCCAGCAGCCCTGGGAGCCCCGGTAAGGCTCGAGGGGGAATGAACCCTTGTTCCAGAGCTCTGCCCCCAGTCCAGGGCTGGCAGGGCACTGACCGAGGGCAGAGGGGCTCCCTCCCGCACGTGTGAGGACAGGGACAGTGCTGGGCCAAGGGCTGCCTCTGGACAAGGGTCAAGCAGGAGGCGAGACGTGGCTGGGCAGGAGGAGCAGCGCTCACCCCTGCACCAGGGCCAGAGCCAGCAGCAGGGGCAGGAGCAGCAGCGCTCACCCCTGCACCAGGGCCAGAGCCAGCAGCAGGACCAGCGCTCAGCCCCTGGCACTGCCCTGGCAGCAGAGCAGGGTGCGGCGCACCGGGTGCACCCAGGCTCAGCTCCATGCCCCGGCCCATCCCTGCACCCAGAGAGGGTGGGAGGCAGCACTGGGCCCCGCTCCCACCACGGCCAAGGCAGGGCCCGAGCAGGGCGGAGGAGAAACCTCTGGACTCAGCAGAGCGCAGCAGGACCCGGCCCCGCTGCCACCGGGCACAAGGCGGCTCCTGTCCTGCAGCAGGGCCCAGCCGCGCCTCCAACCGCCACCCCCAGCCCTCTCCTGCACCCATCCCCGTGCCCCGGTGCTGAGGAGCCCCCAGATCCCTGCTGGGCACCTCCTGGGGCACCTCTGCCCCTGTGGGCAGGGTCTGGGGCAGCGGCTCCATCACAGCCTGCCCTGCACCCCCCACTGCAGGTCCTGCAGTGAGCTGGGATGGGCCGGGAAGGGGGAACCACCTCCAGCCTGTGCCCGACCCCCGGGAGCTGCACTGGGGGATCACTGGTCAGGATGCACAGGGCACTGCAGAGCACTGAGCGAGGGAAGCAGGCGCTGACCACAGCGAGCCCACCCGGGCCGGCACTGCCACGGGAGCGGCACCAGAGCCAGAGCTCGCACGGAGCCGCTTCCCCATCACTCCCCAGCACCAGGGCTCGTCCCAGGCGCCAGCACCCAGCTGCTGCCCTGGCGGCTCCAGGGGCTAGCACGGAGCAGAGGCCACAACATCTCAAGTCTCACAGGGGGGAAACCGGTGCTGGTTGGGAGCAGGAGCCAGGAGCCCAGAGCCCAGAGCCCAGAGCCCTGCGTGCGGGGCTCACCCCGGAGCGGGAGCAGCAGCTCGGGGATACCCCCCTGCAGCCCTGGTCCAGCCCTGGTCCAGCAGCACCGGAGGGATGTGGAGAGAGCCCAGAGGAGGCCATGGGGATGCTGCGAGGGCTGGAGCAGCTCTGCTCTGGAGCCAGGCTGAGAGAGCTGGGCTGGGGCAGCCTGGAGAAGAGAAGGCTCCTGAAGGGGAGACCTGAGAGCAGCTCCAGTGCCTAAAGGGGCTGCAGGGAACCTGGAGAGGGGCTGGGGACAAGGGCCTGTAGGAAACCCAGGGACTCTATGAGACTTCAGCCCCACCTCTCTCAATCACTGCTGCTGTCCTGACCCAGCGGGGCTCCCCTCCAGCCTCAGGGCACCACAGCCCTTTTGGAGGGGTACCTCTGCTCTGAGGCCCTGGGAACCGAACACACGCAGTGCTCAAGGGGAGGCGGCCACTCACAGCGTCCCTGCGCCCCGAGGCAGGGCACAGCCAAGCACCCAGCTCCGGAGGAGCCTCCCTGCTCCACTCCCTGCTCCGCGGCTGAGCTGAGGCTGCCAGGGGAGATGGGGCAAGAAGGGGGCAGGGGCTCAGAGAGCCCCAGGGGCAGGAAGCCTCCTTCCAGAGCTAACCCACAAGGAGCTCCTGGCTCCAGATGGGGAAACTCCAGCCCAAGCCTTTGCCAGAACTGGATGGAGGGGAGCCAGGGAGACTGAATGCCAGCGTCGCTGCATGGGGCAGTGCCAGGATCCCTGCACGGGGCAGTGCCAGAGCCCTGCACGGGGCAGTGCCAGGATCCCTGCACGGGGCAGTGCCAGCGTCCCTGCACGGGGCAGTGCCAGGATCCCTGCATGGGGCAGTGCCAGGATCCCTGCATGGGGCAGTGCCAGAGCCCTGCATGGGGCAGTGCGAGGATCCCTGCATGGGGCAGTGCCAGAGCCCTGCATGGGGCAGTGCCAGGATCCCTGCACGGGGCAGTGCCAGGATCCCCGCATGGGGCAGTGCCAGAGCCCTGCATGGGGCAGTGCCAGGATCCCTGCACGGGGCAGTGCCAGAGCCCTGCACGGGGCAGTGCCAGGATCCCTGCACGGGGCAGTGCCAGGGTCCCTGCAGAGGCCACAGTTAATGGGCACAGACCCTGCCCGCCCACCTCTGCTGCGGGGCTGTGTTCAGCTGCAGGTGGAGCAGGGGCTCTCTGCAGCACATGCCCCAGCCCTGGCCTCCAAGCCCCGGTTCCTCCGGAGCCAGACCGGAGCTGATGAGGCTGAACAGACCTGCGGGGAGCCGGCGCCTCGGGGCCACCCCCAGCCCCTGGCCCATCCGGTCTCACCGGCTGCTCCGCATGGAGCCGGCCTGGCCCTCACCACCCGCATGGGCTGCGGCTCCCGAGGGCGGCCGCACCGTGAGCGCTGCCCTGCCACAAACACAGCCCCGGGAGGGGAGCAGGACCCCAACAACCCCACATCACTGAGACCTCACCACCGGCACCCAGCAGGGCCGGCGCCCCCACATCACCCCAGTGCTGGCGCTCGGCAGCGCCGGGAGCACCGGTGCTGTGCTCCTGAGGGGTCCATCACCAGCGGCACTGGTGTGCTCCTGCCCTCCTGCTCCGGGAGCACTGGTGCTGTGCTCCTGAGGGGTCCATCACCAGCAGCACTGGTGTGCTCCTGCCCTCCTGCTCCAGGAGCACCGGTGCTGTGCTCCTGAGGGGTCCATCACCAGCGGCACTGGTGTGCTCCTGCCCTCCTGCTCCGGGAGCACCGGTGCTGTGCTCCTGAGGGGTCCATCACCAGCGGCACTGGTGTGCTCCTGCCCTCCTGCTCCGGGAGCACTGGTGCTGTGCTCCTGAGGGGTCCATCACCAGCGGCACTGGTGTGCTCCTGCCCTCCTGCTCCGGGAGCACTGGTGCTGTGCTCCTGAGGGGTCCATCACCAGCAGCACTGGTGTGCTCCTGCCCTCCTGCTCCAGGAGCACCGGTGCTGTGCTCCTGAGGGGTCCATCACCAGCGGCACTGGTGTGCTCCTGCCTCTGCTCCGGGAGCACCGGTGCTGTGCTCCTGAGGGGTCCATCACCAGCGGCACTGGTGTGCTCCTGCCCTCCTGCTCCGGGAGCACCGTGCGGCTCCTGAGGGGTCCATCACCAGCGGCACTGGTGTGCTCCTGCCCTCCTGCTCCGGGAGCACCGGTGCTGTGCTCCTGAGGGGTCCATCACCAGCGGCACTGGTGTGCTCCTGCCCTCCTGCTCCGGGAGCACCGGTGCTGTGCTCCTGAGGGGTCCATCACCAGCGGCACTGGTGTGCTCCTGCCCTCTGCTCCGGGAGCACCGGTGCTGTGCTCCTGAGGGGTCCATCACCAGCGGCACTGGTGTGCTCCTGCCCTCCTGCTCCGGGAGCACCGGTGCTGTGCTCCTGAGGGGTCCATCACCAGCGGCACTGGTGTGCTCCTGCCCTCCTGCTCCGGGAGCACCGGTGCTGTGCTCCTGAGGGGTCCATCACCAGTGGCACTGGTGTGCTCCTGCCCTCCTGCTCCGGGAGCACCGGTGCTGTGCTCCTGAGGGGTCCATCACCAGCAGCACTGGTGTGCTCCTGCCCTCCTGCTCCGGGACAGGGGCAGGGGCTGCGGGCGCTGCTGCAGCTCCAGCAGCAGGGGCATGGGCTGAGGCTCTGCACAGCAGGAGCAGGGGGGCCGCTCCTCACGCCCATGGCAGCAGCACCCAACAGCCTCGTCCCTGGCACCGCATCAGAGAACCCGGGAGCCTCCAGCGCCCTGAGGCACGGCTGGACCCGGGACGGGCCCTCTGCAACCAGGCCATGGGTGCCGGGTCCTGCTGCCCCCAAGGACCCCTCCTGCCCCCGGGCTCCGGAGCCACCAGAGGCACCCCCAGGTACCAGAGGCACCCCCAGGCACCAGAGGCACCCCCAGTGCAGGGGC